TTACTTGGGCTATTCCTAACAATACAAAAGTTTAATTTATTCTAAAGTATCCCACAGAAATTTATTATAATAAATATTTTGGAAATCATCACTTGAGATATTCTGAGAATGCACGAGAAATTACTATTATTAACTAATTTCATTTATTATATAGCATGGTTGTATTAAATAGACCTTATAATAAGCGTTGATTTATATATTTATATATAAATTTAATTAATTAAATTAAATTAAATTTTATTTGGTAACCCTAACAGCACGCGACGTACTGCGTATCATCCCATTTTCGTACTCATTGTACTGTGATCATCTGTGACGTACTAAGTTGAACGCTAGAACGTCACTTATAGTATCATTCGGTTTTCTTTCACGTGCGAATGTTCTCAGATTTCACTCAGGGATACGGAAATGATACGTACGCTTTTCTATCGCGTGCGTTCATTCTCAGGTTTGACTGAAATGATACGTACGCATTTGTATCGCGCGTGTATTTACTCAGAACGTACTCATTCGATTGCAGTATATATGAGAACATTCTGAGATGATCGCAATATATGTATTGCGATCTACTCAGAACGTCCTCAGAACGTCTTCGTGCTGTTAAGGTTATACCGTTTTTTCGGAGAAAATAATCTCTTTAGATTTAATATTCGTACTTGTTTAATTTTGTGGTTCTTTTTTATTTCATTAAAATATTATATTCTTAAACGAAATATCATTTTTTAAAATGATGAAAATAAAACTTTTATTTCGTTTAAGGAAACCATGTCATTTGAAGAAACAACACTATTGTTTTAAATAATATTTTTTAAAAGTTTCTCTCAAAATTTAGTAATTCGATTTGATTAATTTGGATTTTCTTGAATTTTTTAATTTTTTTTTGTTTGGATTAATCATTATAACATTTTGTTAAAAATATAAAAGTAATTATCACTGGTTCACTACTTTACGTTAATATTCATCGCATATCGAATGTTGCATTGTTTCAATATCTATCAACAAATTATCCAATGAACAACAGGTAAAAATTATGTAACTATTATTTGATGTTTGCTAGGTATGTTATAATATACTGTGAACACTATAAGGATACATTATATAAGCATGAATCGTAAGAACATCGTTGGAGTCATCAGAGTCACCGCGTGCGTGCTCGATCGTCAGGTTAAGCAACAGTTTTAATGCGGTCAGGACATGAATGGGTGCCAGTGGTATACCGCTTGGGATCGAAATTATCGCAGGAGATTCATGAAAGTTTTGGAATGTTCTTGATAAACTTCGATATTTAGTAGTTTATGAGACATGAGAAAATTAGGAATATAAGTATATTTTTGTAAACATTATGATTTTCTCATTTTTCACCTTTGCATAATAATTCTCAGTATTTGATTACTATCAATATTTAACAGTGATTTTATTATCAGTATTCACCAGAAATTAAGTACTGACCAAAAAATTACTGAATTACTGGTAATATTTAACCACTAATAATTTTTCAGTATTTCTTAGTATGATATTTCTATAAGGGATATACGTACGTGATGTACTGAAATCTTTCCGTTTTCATTCCGTCCTGAGACTGCCGACATCGCTGCGAACGTTCGTATGACATTCGCAGCGAAATTCTATAGTAGCTGCTACCCTAGACATAGGGACGTACTCAGAATGTACTCAGTCGATCGCAGTACATATGAGAACATTCTGAGATGATCGCAATATATGCGTTGCAATCAACTCAGAACGTCCTCAGAACGTTCCCATGCTGTTAGGGAAGATGGATTTTTCTCTTTTTTTAATTGTGCTCTTTTATAATCATTCGAATTTTATAATCACTTATGACTTTGTCTATTTAATAACAGCAATAAAAAAAATTTACTATAAATATTTTAAGACCGAAATGGAATGTGTGGTGTTTCGTAGATCTCACTTCACTAGTTAAGGTTTAAATTAATAATAAAAGTGCGAAAAATATAAATTTTATTAAAATTAAATATAAATATTATAAAAAAATTATATTACTGCGTTAATTGCAACATATATAGACAAAATATGAGACGTTTGTATCGATCGAAGAAGTGGTGTAGTGTCTAAAGCAATAGGCTGATAATCCAAAGGTGTCGCCTCAGGAGGTCCAAGTTCGAATTCCAATGTAAGTAAGAATTTTTAAATGTGATATAATATTTGGAATCAAGTAATCTTAAATTTCAAGTAAAAGACAAACGCTGACTGGTTTTTTATTTCAACCAATTCGCTAATATTTATAAAAAAGTAGGACATTTAGCGCTTATTTGAATCTTTCTTGAACATTCTGTGAATATTCCGGAATGTTTTGGGACATTCTTGGGATGTTAATTTTGGATTTGTGAAACATTCTGTGAATATTACAGAAATATCTAGCGTACAACTTCCAAAATCGAAATGTTTTATTTTCAAAAAATGGGGTGCCAGGTCAAAAACATTTTTTTCATTTTTTGGACTTATAATTCAACTTACGGATTTGTCCTTCTGGAACAATGTTTGGAACAACTAGAACAATCTATTGCGGTATCAGAATGTTCGATTTTCGAAAAGTGGGGTGCCAGCTCAAAAAATCATTTTTTTTGTTTTATTCGAAAACCGTTTCGAATATCACTTTGAAGCAATATCACTTTGGAACAATGTGGTACAAAGTCAGAACAATCTGGAACAACTTTCAAAATTATAAATTTCAAAAAGTGGGGTGCCAACTTCATACACTCCCAATATTCATCTTTCAGTCAGTGCTCTAAAGCGCTTCTAGTGTCAATATTTAGATAAACTTATTTTACATAAAAATTTTATGCATATATCTCTGACTTTTCTTTTATTATATGAAATATTTGGACTAAATAGTTTATTTTTGTTGTTGTACTATAATAATAATATTATAAGAAAATTATAATTACTGTTTCGGCTGCATATGGGGATAATACAAAACACTTAGTATTAGTTGAAAAAGTAGCGCAGCTGCCAAGATAACAGACTAGAAACCTAGAAGTATCTGAAGTTCTTGAGTTCGTGTCCGGCCAGTACGGAATAAATTTTCAGATGTGAAAATAGTGAGAAATTAAATAGAAGAGCTAAATTTCACTTAAAATCAACATAAACTAGTTGAAGATATATAAATTATTTTGTTATTAATTGCTCGTTAATATAATGTTCCGTACAAGGTTTCTGTAATATTAATGGAATGAGTATGGACGAATATTTTCATGTTATTGGAAAGTTAATAGCAGGTTTAGTAACCTCCGTGTAATGTTACTATTTTAGAAGTTAAGATTGCTATAACCTTATGGTTATTATCAATATTAATATGCTGTGAGGGAATCTTTTAATATTAAGACAACTTTAAAACTAACCGTATATAATAAATCCATATGACTTCTATTAGTTATCTATTTAAGTTCCATAAAAAATCTCAGGTTAATCTATATTACGTCTAATGCATATCTATGAAAACGTCTAATAGACATAGAATGAAGGTTTGAAATGTGGAACTGTAGATGTCCAGTAGATGTCTATTGGCAGTTTTATGGATCTCTAATAAATGTTACGAATCTCCATCATGGATCTCTCTTGGACGTCCACTAGAGGTTTTTGTTCTGTGTCGGCGGCCACTTAGGAATTAGTTTTTTTTATGAAACAATAATAAATAAGACGTTGAAATGTCAAGGAAAAATCAACAATCGCGGATATTTTTACATTATATTAGGTAAGTATTTTTACATATAATTATTTTTACATATAATCACTTTTACATATAATCATTTTTACATTTTTACATTACATTTTGATATAATCTAAAAATCACTCATCATAGAGAGAAGAAGGAGGGTGTACTAGGTGGCGGCAGAACGCCGTGCGTTCGAGATCTGCGTATCTTTTTCGTTCGAGAGAGAAAAATATCGAGAGCGCGGATTTGCTAGGCCGAGTAGCCGAACCCGGATCTTTCGCTTGCCAGGCGACTGCTTTAAACCACTGAGCTACCTAACGCTCCACGCTCACGACACTCTCCTTTCCCTAGATAACGCTCAGAGATGCCGTTCGGAAGTGACATCTCCAACGCGATCCCGAGCGCACGGCGACTACAGAGAGGAACAATGTTACTGTACCAAATGGTACAGTTGTCAGTCTTTCAAAGTCAAAGGTTACTATCCTTTAAGACCTGCTATCCATGTATGCCCGTCTCCACCGTTGCCCCTCCTCATCCGGTACAAATAATACAAATAAGCCCCGGGGTCGACACCAATTTTTTGGCAGCCCCCGGATGCTTGGATGCAATGCGCTATGGGGGATCCACCATAGAAGGAGGAGGGCGTAGTAAATGGCGGCGGGATGCCGTGCACATCCATAATTGTTGTAATTCAACATTCTTTCAACATTGATTCAACATTACTGTGCTGTATGGGACTGTTGCTTTTAAGAATCTTGGAGCCTTTTTCTAGATGTAAAGCGAATGCGTTAATACGCCATCTTAATTCTACCTTATTTTAAGTCTAAATAATAAACTATAATATCTTAATCCTAAATTTAATTTTACTTATATAAGCGTCATGTATAAAACTATTTCAACTTTGGAATCAGAAAGACATTACTTAGCATTCGCTATATCCAAAAATACGCCTCCTGAGTACGTATTCCCAGTCAGAACCACATGTTGATTCAAGATTGATTCGACGTCGATGAGGGTTGAATCAACACTGATCGTTTTGACGTCGAATCAATCTTGAATCAACGTTATGATTCTAACTAGGTTACGGAACTTTTCAGAATCAATTCCGATCGGAATTATTTTGTTATTCCGTAAATTTCTATTGCCTTTTCTAGGGAAAATTATCCTTATCAGAATCGATTCCGAACAATTCCAAAATACGTATCTAGACTATTGGTTCTGTAACTTTTAACGATATTGTCGTTAAAAAATTAATAGGTTTGTCGTCATATGATGATAGGTCCCCACAAGAGCTCCAAATAAAAATAGGTATCGATTATTTGAAGTTTATTTCACGTGAGCGTTCGTTGCGCGAAACAAATCAACGCAATTCGTAGCGTACCCAAAATTCCTTAGGAGTTATAAGAAGACCTGGCAATTCATCTTCAGGTTTCGATGGTTCGCCTTCGACTTGGAAGAAGTTGAAGGTTTGCAGTAGGGCAGCCAACACCCCGAATACGTTGTATCTACTGTAAGTTTCTCCTGGACAAACTCGATGACCTGTACACAAAACGCAAGAACGATTACACTATAAAACACAATCTCCTCGACGCAAAGTGAGTTTTCAGTGTCGCACTGCGATTGAAGTATATCGACTTACCAAAACCAAAAGGCAACGACATATCTTTCGTCAGTTCGCCCTTTTCGTTTATGAATCTCTCTGGTCTGAAATTCTCGGGGTCACCCCATAAATTAGGATCACGATGCATCGCTGCTAAATTAGTTATAACTGCCGTATTCGCCGGTATCGCGTACCCTCCCAGAGTAGTGTCCTTGACAGCTCTATGGATTACACTCAGCGGCAACGAAGACGATATCCTCATTACTTCTCGGATCATTGCTTCCGTATAAGGTAAACTGTAATTGCGAAATGTATCAGAAATGTCAAATTCGACAAAAACCGAATTTTAGGAAATTAACGAATGTTGTTATTTAAAGAATTTATCATGTCTTCCCCTTCTGATAATGCCAGCAGAAATATATTTATCAAATCATAACGATGTTAAAAAACATGTGAAATATCATTGTATCTATTTCGTCTTATTTTTAACACAAATACTCGATATTTATGTGTAGTATCGCGTGCATAACTCACCAGAACTAATTATAACTTACTTATAACTTACTTTTTTCTATCATTCCATGTCACTAATCGACCGGTACCAACAACCTGGTCTATCTCATCCTGCACTTTCTTTAAAACCCTGGGATATTTGATCAGATATTTAAGGACATTAGCAATAACGGTGGGATTTGTAGAACACGTGGCAATCACCATATCGGTTGCTGTAATAATCAACTGTTTCTCTGAAAAGCTTTGCGATTTCTCGTCTTTATTCAATACGTTCAGATATCTGTCAATGAATCCTCTGTCGACGTTTTCGTCTAAAGTGGCATTTTGCAATTTCAAATATTCCTAAATATAACAATGCAGAATTACAATACAGCACTTCAGTCGAAATGTATATTTAATATATCACTGTGTTTCCCTTTCTGTGTAAGATTATCCTAAAAACTTTCTTTGATAGATAAGTTAGGTAAGGCTCTGAAATTTAAAAAATCAAGTTATATGAGAGACTAATGAGAGTCATGCGTTGGAAGGAAAATAAATGTAAATATATTTTGTAAGTATATGATATGTGTTAAAGACATAGTGGTTATCGTTACGTCATATTTATATAACAAACGTTTCGATCGCCTGATGGAAACCTTCATCAGTGATAATGACGCAACGCACTTCGAGTGCATTCCTCTAACAACAACTAACTGAAGCGCAAAGAAATTAAATTCCTCTGAGAGCAGCAGAAAATGACAGCGAGATTGATGGATCATGCTCATTAAAATTTTTTAATGACGTGTTGCGTCATTATCACACTGACGAAGATCCAAAAGACAACCGAAACGTTTGTTATGTAAATGCGATGTAACGATAAAACTACCATCTCTCTTTATATAATACGTATATTTTTAAAAAATATATTTATATTTATTTTGCGTACTTGCTTCCATGCGCGAGTCTCTCATTAGCCTTCCTCATATAATTTGATTTTCCATGGATATTTATTTTTATCTACGACTACATGTGTGTCATTTGACGGCTTACCTGAATGATGTCTGCTACTGCATAATTTGCTTTTATCATATTTTTAAACCCAAACATGTTTCCAAAGAATCTCAAAATAGGTAAGTGGAAGATCGCACCGCCTGTTGCATCGAGCGATCTTTGAAACAGCATGGACATGCGACAGATATGTCGTGGAATATCGTGCTCGCTTCTGTCGAATTTGCAGCCGAATAAAACGTTCCAAAAAGAACTACATATTGTCGGATAGAGAATGTCGGGAAAGAGTACCAAATTGTCTTTTATTATTTCCTACAGACAATAAGATCTTTTATTTCATTTTTTTCTAACTGCTTATGTCTTTGTAAAACAGTTTTCGTTTATGCGTATTGAATATTAATACTATAAAATGACTATACCTTCTCTTCATCATAAACTGGCCTGTTTTTCATGATATCGATTAGCAAAGATATCTCGCTTAAAATATCTCTCTCGATGGTCTCCTGCCGTCGTCCGAATCCAAAATCGCGTATATTGCGAAGAAAGAATCTTCTCTGTTCTCGCCAGAACTCGCCTTCGGTAAATAGTATACCTACAATTTTATGATAAAGTTAATTGTAAATCATAAGACAGGAGTCTAATACTATCTACGATGTAGTTCTGTTATGTAAACTTTTAATATTTTCTGGGAGAAGGACAGAAAATATTAATATATGCTACTTGACATACAAATCGTACAGTTGAAAACATTCTCTCGCATTACCCAACTTCTTTCCGAAAGCTCGTGCTTTTACAACTTCGACTTCTGAAATTCGACCGTCGAAGTCATCCCTCGTAAGAATCTCCTTTATGCTGGCATAGTCACTAGCTGCTACTGCCCAAAAATCGCCGAAATAACAACCGATGATATTCGTTTTCAACTTCTTTGCATAATATCCGATAGTTTTATACGGGAAGGAGTAACTTCCCAACAGTAACATCAAATAAGATCCTGATATTGGAACTCTGGGAATGCCTACGTCCGACAGGTTTTATAAATGAATGTAATCATCGCTTTTTTGAATTTTTTTGATATTGAAATGCAGTAATTGTAATCATTAGTAATTGTAATATTATAACTAAATTACGTAAAGTTGGCAAATTTTCTTCATCGAGAAGAATTTTATTCTCATTGCAGTTGCGGTGTTTCGTGCGTTACATAAATAATAATAATAATAATAATAATAAATACATAATAATAATATATTAAAAAGCAGTAGATAAAAATTTCTGTAAAATAGAAGTTATTATATTTTAAACAACTAGCATTTGACAATGGAAAAACGCATGCTACGTATTTATTTACGTCCTATCAAACATAAGTAAGATATTGATATTATATAATATGAAATCGTATTATAATATTGCAAACTATTGTGGACTTTTCAAAAAGCAAAGTTAAAATCGAATTATGGACGAAAGTGTTATTGCAATGTACACGAAATTTGTCAAAATTAAGCAAATTTAATATTAACTTACTTGGAGGTGAATTAGGCGGTTTATGATAAGTAAACTTGTAGAATTTATATGCTAGGAGAATCACGATCACTACAATTAACAATGGAGTCATATTTGTGCGAGTGATGAAGTTTAACTGAGATTTTCACAAAATTATCGAGTTCTTTATGCTGCGTTTATATGCACTACTTAAATTCTAGACATGCGCAGAAGGATGCGTGACGTTGCAGTTCTAGACTGCAATATACTTAATTAAATCATTTTTCTCAAGTGTTTACTGTTTTTATAGGAAAGTAGTTTAGTTGAATATATCAATCAAAGATAATTTACTCTAGCTTATTTGTTAATGTAATAGGAAATCTATTAATTATTATGTAATCATTCGTTGTTCTTGGCAATTTTTCTTAGAAAATTAAAATAGAAAGTTTTGGTTTCTTGATTGAGACAAAAAAATTCATTGAACTTAATAGACTAATTAGTGAATCCTTTTATCTCTTTTAGGAATTAGTGAATTCCTTTATCAATAAGATGTTCCACAATAGAATTTTTGTACTAAAATTTTACGTGTTTTTGTATATGCAAGATAATACAAATTTCTAAAACGCCATATTTCTTGAAATTTCTAAAGTTTTATATTAAAAAAATGTTACTTTAAAGGCAACAACATAAAGTTATCTGCACATGTAATTATAAGTTTAGTGAAGGATGTTTAAAAGAAGAAATATGTTCTAACGAAAAAATTGTTTATTTTACAGATACAGACAATTATATCGACGATCTTACATCGCAAATAAAATATCTAAATATTACATTGCATTTCACTTCTCTATACGAGAACGTTTACGAGTTTACACAAGAATAATGTATGTGTGTGTGTGTGTGTGTGTGTGTGTGTGTAAACACATTCGCATATTAGAATATATTATATATACAATTCCGATGCGCACACACTGGTCTCACAAATTATTCGAAGTACGTGATATCGCCATGAATTCCAAGTGGCATGGTGCTACTGAATATTTGTCGCATTCGATCGTCATTCAGAACTGCACGGCCTACGTTTTGCGATCGTTCATACAACAAACAGATGCAATCCTCTAAATTCTGCATAATCTCTCGATCGAACACCGGCGTTTCCGTTAAATCGAAATGCAGTTTCAGAAACGCGGTGTAAAGGTCCACGCAATGCGCTGCTATTCGCAGATGGAATATCATAAGGAATGCTTTGGCGGTCTAAATAAATGGAAAAAAACAAACGTTTTAAGTTGCATAACTTGTTTTGCGTTCATATAAATAGACATATTATTATGATAATGATGCTTCGTTTTATTGATTTCTTTGAAAAAATAATAATAGAGGTGAATTGCACGGCAATTAACATGATTAATGAGCATAAATACATCATTAGAAGCACTTTACTTCAAAGTAAAAATCTTACCTCCAATGTTGCTTTCAACGTTCTTAAGTCGGTGTGATGCTCGCAATATTCGACGAGTATTCGCGTAAGCGCTTCACACCATTTGCCACAGCCGATGTTGGTGAGAAATTGAGGTAAACTGCACATGTATGCATGTCGCAATTCGATATTCTGCTCAAATGCCATGTTGTCTATTAAATCAGAGAGAATTTCATCGCGTTTTGTCCACTGTAAAAGTAGATACAAAGTTGCGATCAGATCTGAAATTTACATTGCGATTATACAAATGTAAACTGCGGTTTACAAACTCACCTCAAACACCCAGTCCGGTGTGTGACTCCAATATTCGATAGTAGGTAGAAGATTAGCTAAGCAAGTATATAAGAGAATAATGTATTTCACTTCTTTTCGATAGGTTAAAGGCTTCAAGGAGTGATAAATCACTTGAACATGGCCGCTAGATAGAAATCCGTGTTTCTAAAACATTTTTACAAATGAATATATGTGGATTTCTATAATAAACAATATTTATCATTATACTAGGTTGTTGTACAGGATATTTCAGAAGTAGATGACCAAATTTTAAGAGCATATTCTGCTGTAAGGATAAAAAAGATCATATAAACATAAGTCCAGAATCACTTTTTTTCCAAGTAATAAACATTTTTCATTTACAACAGACTAGTACATTTCACTCTTTATTTACAAGACTTTGGAACGTTTCAAGAAATTGTTGGAAATAATTTCTTTCCGCACATCAATGCGTGCCTCGCATCGATGTCTCATGTATTTTTTTTTTCGTAGACGTTCAAAAATTCCCGAAGTATTTTATATTCTGTTATATGAAGCAATAATACGATTTCAGAGTACTTTCACAGTAGCAACAAGAGTATCATAAACGAGAGTCTTAAGATATCCCCATAAATAAAAATCCAACAGGTTTAAATCGTGCAGATTAAGCAAATATATCCTCTTCTGCCAATCCACCTATTGGTACAATTATTATTCAGAAACTCTCGAGCAATATGATTAAAATATGCTGGAGCTCTGCATGAATCATATTTGATGACATATTTGTAGTGTAACTTTTTCTAATAATACAGGAAGTTGTTTCCAAGAATAGCCTGTAATTATTATACTATTAAGGCTCCTGGCCCCTCGCATTGCTTATCTCTTTTTAATGAAGTCAGAAGCGAGAAAATGCATGCTAAAAATTCTTGCGAAATATATTGAAATAAAAATATATATTCATAAAGTAACACTTGCAATCGATTTAATAAACAAATTTGTAAGATATTCCGTGCACTTCCCTTTTGCTCTAATAATCAATAATTTATTGTAAATTAATCTGAATAGAAATAAGCGAAGAAATATGTTAAGAAAATGAATTGTATGTCACGTTAATTTACGACAAATTATTGATTGTTAGAGCAAAAGGAGAGTGCACGGAATATCTTACAAATTTGTTTAATCGATTGTAAGTGTTACTTTATGGATATATATTTTTATTTTAACGTATTTCGCAAGAATTTTTAGCATACATTTTCTCGCTTCTGACGTCATTAAAAAGAGATAGACAATGCGAGAGGCCAGTACTGGGATTCTGTAACTCGTTATTGGAGTTAACGACAGTTTTGTTATCGTTGCGCAGCTTTTGTATACCGTAGAAAAACTGCGCAACGATAACGAAACTGTCGTTAACTCCAATAACGAGTTACAGAATCCCAGTACAGGAGCCTTAAGTATAGATGGGAAAAACTGGTTTAACAAGGAAATCTTCAATATCAACCTATATATTGCATGAAAATTTATGCTGATACCGAGATTCAGTAATACTTTGCAGATTTTCATACGATCATTGATGATTTTTTTTTATGATAATTTATAGTATCCTGCGAAAATCATGAAAATTTGTGAAAAGTACCGACATTTCAAAACTTAAAAACTATCGCAAGTACTACTGAGCAAATATTACTCATGATGGATAATTTGCTGGTAAGAGACTTTATACTCACTGTATGTGATATGGATACAAAAAAAATCCTTCACATAGTTGTCAAAAAAACATTTTCTTCGACTTGTCAGTTGCTCTTTAATTGCAAGGGTTCGAATATTTCTGTTTTATCTTTGATAAACTGTACTGAAGTATAGTATTTAATAAAGAGGACTGTTTGCCTGAGTCAATGATGGATGATGGAAAATAAAATTATTTTTAGCAGCACATTGTCTTTGAGGAAAAATTTATCGATAGAGACGTTGAGTTTTCCTATAGTTTCCATTACTTTTCCCATATAGTGGATATCTGTCTATTCTGTGTTAGAATAAGTTAGAATAAGCCTGTGTTAGAATTGTCATTTTGACACTATCTTAACTTATAAACGTTTAAATGAGGACTGATTCCAATTTTAAATGGACTCATCTGACTTATTTACTTGTAATAGAAGATGAATAAAGGATAATACATGGCACGTTGATGCAAAACATGTCTGTTGTAAATTAAATATTTATAACTTGAAAAGAAAGTGCTTCTGCAACCATATTTATATGATATTTTTCATTCTTACAGTGAGTAGAATATGCTCTTAAAGTTTCCACCTATTTCTGAAACACTCTATATAACAAATAAATTTTTGTCAACAATTACCATATGGGAATGTTGTATAATCAAATGTAGACATTGCAATCCAATTAATATATTGTCGGGTACATAGTCATCTATGAGGATCAATGTGGTAGGTAGCACATCCCTAATATAATTAAACAATAAAGGTTTCTGCAAAAGGAGGATATAGAATGAACATATATTTTAACAAGTTATAAAAGTGTGAATTATAAAATTCTATATCTAGAAAAAGTAGACTTACTTCTACTTGATGGACCATCCATTTATAGCATGTAATAGCTGCTGGATAAACCTTCCAGCTCATCTTTAATAACTTAGGTCTTAACATTAATAATAACTTATTAAAATTTTCATGCACCGAGAAAAATGTGGAAATACTTTGACATGCCCATAGATGGCAAAAGTTGGCACTTAATTCCTTAGAAATGTTGACACATTCTGCTGTATTCCAGATATTTTTCTCACTGTGCTCACCGATAAGCAACAGTAGATTCATACTGAATGTCTTTGTTATTGCCATACTATTGTCATTCAGTGGCAGATGTTGTTTACAATTGTTGAGGATATGTTGCAACATAAATCTAACATTATTCAATTTCTTTTCTATGACTAGCCTGTATTCCCTAAAGTCCTTTTCCTCACAGGGACGAACTTCATCCATAAATTTTGGTGGTACAAAACTTCTCTGAATCAGATCTATACATGGCTTCCATGAATTCTGATCGCTAAAGTTGTCATTAATCCTCAGGGTCTCTAACTCCTTCAGCAGATCATCCATTTTGGTGTATTATTCAGAGACCAAGAAACCAACAAGGCAACACCTTTCTGTAGATCTGTTTGTCTGCCTCTTGTCTGTTCTCTAGATTTTTTCTCCAGTCAAAATCATTTCATCAATCATTTTTCTGAACATGTAATCATCCCAGTTATTCAGAGTACATGATTTTGTTGCAAAGCCAAACTTTTCACTAACTTTTGAGTTTGTGTACTCTCTAATTGCCTCTCTAATCCTATTTGTTGACTTACAAATAATCACGAGTGTAACGAATACACAAGTTCATCAATGTTGCGACTCAGAACTATGGGTTTATCACGACATATAAAATGCTTCTTCCTCAGTCCGTGACCTATGACAGTAGTTGTACTGTGGTAACATTTGATTACATTTATCAAATAACCTCGGGATAAAAAAAATGTAAAAACTATAACGATAAATTGTGACAGAATACTGTAGCTTTCTTTTATTCAAATTACGTTAAATCCCATTAAATTATCGCTGCATTTACCGCGAGCGACATTTTCCCGGTAATGTTAAGTATTGACGCACGTCTCTGACGTCTTATACGCAGTATTTATATAGGAAAATTGTGCTCACCGAATCGGGCCGGCTTCTTGATAATAGTTTGCGATGGTGGTGTTGGCAACGGCGACGACTGTGATATATACGTGCGATCCGACGTAACGCGGAAAAGCTGCGCATCCACGCTAAAGAATTAAATCGCGACCGAATTATTACGCAGGGGATGCAACGAAATCCGTATCTCTCGTAAAATAGTTATATACATGACAACGCACGGCAGCGCCCGCAACAGTTCAGAAAGCATGATGTATTTACAATATAATCGTGAGTACGAGTTTCTAATTTACGAACGATATCTCGCATAATCTCGCGACTTCGCGATTGATACGTCACTGCATTCGATACATTCAGACATGTAGCTAGGGCTCCCAGAATCTCGCTAATACGCTGGCGCACAATTGGCCAAAGAGATCCCTAATCCTAGATAAAAAAAGAAGATCATTATTAAAAGTTCGTAAAAAAAGAACAAAGCAAATGGAAAACAACAGGTTTTATGAATAATATATTGCGATAATAGAAATTGCGTTGTACACAGTAATGGAAATGTAAATATAAGTATAAAAATGTTACTAGATATCATTCTGACAGCTTTTTCAACATTTCATGCATCAATAACACTTTGCAAAGATAAACTGTGTAACATTTATATACTCTAGATAAATTAGCATTGGACTTATTGGTGATCATTAGCTCGAAGAATAGAAAATAATTGAGCGAATATATTTCTTAGTTCCATAAACTTTGTTATATTATTGTCTTATATTTTATTAATATTTTAATGTTACGTCAGCTTTGTTTGCACTCAAGAGTCGTCTACTTCATTCAGCATTAACATTATCATGCTATTTATTTTGATTTACAAGCATATAATCACTTGTTGACATATTGAAAGAAACATTTGATACTTATTTCCTTTCTTGGTCGATGTTACGTAAGAACTAATGACCATGCAATTATGTAAGTGGAAATAATAGTATATGTACAAAGACGCTACAAAAACTGTGACGAGACATCAAAACATATAATCATTACTTTGATCTCAAACATAGTTAAAACCGTCAATTATAGCTGAGACCTCGATATCGAATTGCGCGTCAGAGTATCAGATATATTATTATTATTCTTTCGCTGAAAGTTCATATTTATAAACATGGGTATATCAGAAAACGTATTGCACAATATTATCAGTTATTTTATTGCGTCGTTAATTTCGCAATTTAACTTTAAAGTTCTAAGTGCTAGAGTTCTAGAATACTTTTCGAAGAAAATTTTATTCAATATCCTAAATTTTATTCAATATGTTTATATAATATTAGTTTTACATTGCATATACTGTAGAATATTGAGTAAAATTTTTCTCTAAAAAGATGTTTTGAAATCCCAAAAGTTTATATTATAATAAAAAGGAAAGTGTATCATATTGTACAGAAGACCGGAAAAATACAATTGTTATAATTAGAGAAGTACTTTAAATAAATAATGTCAATTTCACAACATGTAGTCTCTTAGGGCAGGATTCGTTCGACATTGCTTCGAAGTGTTAAATAAAACAATATGATTCGTTTATCAGTGCTAAACGAATTTTAGCTAAATCATACAACGATCGCATTCCGTAATACGCATATATCTATAGTTATGTCACGTATACTGTAGAAAATATACGCAAAATAGAAAATATATGCATGTACGGAACACAGCCAACGTCTCGCGTATAATCTCATACACCAGTTAGAATGTTCTACTGTATAGTTAGGTCAGGCATGCGCAAACATTTGCGGGCTTTTATAGAGAGAGAGAAAAGTATTTTTCTTTCTCTAACCTGCTTTGGACAAAACATGTAATTTTATTATTTGTATACTTTAGATATTGAATGTTTCAAACAGCACAAGATGCTGATTACATTCAACAGAAAAAACAACTTAAACATTTTATGTTGCGCTGCTAGCAATTTTACAACTATTATAAGATATCTATTTTTTACTGACACTAGCGGGTCATGTTTTTCTAACATGTTTACTGAGCACACGTCATTCTTTCTTGTATATTTTTAATACGTTCGACACTTATACATGATAAAAAAAAACCGCTAAGTGTAGTTCAGCAAAAGATCTTATGAGCCTTCTACAATAATTATTTTTAAAAATAATCGTCTGTTCAATTTGCTTGCGACTTATGACTAATGACTTATTGTAGAAGACCCATTGGCTGTGTTCTTTTATTTGCAACAGATGCAGCCGATGTCATTCTATCCTTGTTTAACATTCGGTAAAATCAAAGGATAACATGACATCAGCTGTTGCGAATAAAAGAACGCAACCATTATGATCGCAAAGCTGCTTTTTCTGTTGAATGCAACTATTCTTTAGGCATCTTGAATAAATTTTGCGTGCTTTCCATTTAATAACACAAGCAGTCGACACAAGCATCATCCTATCATAGATTGCTTTCCAACAAGAGACACAAGTCGACACAAACATCATTCTATCTTTGTTCCACATTTAGTGAATAACAAAGATAGGATGATTCTTGTGTCGACTTGTGTCTCTTGTTGGAAAGCAACCTTAGTTACTCATTGAATATGGAACAAAAACAGAATGATGCTTAATCAACTTATGCTATTAAATGGAAAGCACCCATTCATGACACTGAAATATCTTGTGCTATTTGGCTGATTTAAAGAATAATAAATTACCTTCTCAATTTGATTACTCCAGTGAACTATATACATACTGGGATGCTTAGTCAAATGGGAAGAAACGGGCCGAGTGAAAGGGAAAACAGAGACATAAGATTTGTTCGAGTTGCTTGTACTATTCACACTTTTACATCTAATGCCCTTTGCACACTAGTGCACCTCATACAATACAAATTTTCCAAAATACGTTCTGAAGACGCTTTTAGGACAGAGGGATGTCATCAGAATATTTTTAGGACGTCCTTTGAAAATGTGAGCTGTCTGAAAATAACTAATATCCAATAAGTTTATTCGCATTAATTGAACTTTTTACACTTTCACACTTAGTGCACATTAATTCTTTATGGCTCCTGCACACAGGACGCGGTAATGCTTGCCGCGCGGCAGAAGTTCACGCGACAGCCAATCAATATGTTGTTTTTCCGTAAGAGCTAGAAGGTTATTACGGAAAGCAGCATATTGATTGGCTGTCGCGCGAACTTCTGCCGCGCGTCAAGCATTACTGCGTCCTGTGTGCAGGAGCCATTAGAGGTTCTAAAAATGACGTCATGAATTCCGTTCGTGTTACGAGTGTAATTGCAATTTTGATACACTTTTTACACTTGCAAGCAAGAATGAAAAGTGTATTAGAATTGCATTTACACTCGTAACACGAACGAAAAACATGACGCCATTTTTAGAACCTCTAAAGAATTAATGTGCACTAAGTGTGAAAGTGTAAAAAATTCAATTAATGTGAATAAACTTATTGGATATTAGCTATTTTCAGACAATTCACATTTTCGAAGGACGTCCTAAGAATATTCTGATGACGTCCCTCCGTCCTGAAAACATCTTCAGAATGTATTTTTGAAAATTTGTGTTGTTTGGAGTGCACTAGTATGCAACGGGCATTAGATGTAAAAGTGTGAAAAGTACAAGCAACTCGACAAACCTATTAGAGGTTTGTTCTTTCCAGCTGAACTTCTTGCACTAGTTCAAAAAGTGTGCACTGGTGCGTTCTATCTAGCAGAAGTGATGTCAGAGGGTGTTTACGATAATTCGAGTTGGAGTTAGTACGAATTAGTTTCACTAGGGCTGAAAAATATGATAGTCACAAGCATCTAGTATTTTCATGATTCATGACAACTCAATGCTGTCCGATAAATCGAGTAGAGTAGAGTAGAGTAGAGTTAGGGTAACATAGTGGATAGTATATGTATAAAAATTAACAGTATCAGGTAACATAGTTTCGTAAAATATATAACAATAATATTACTAAACAATGAGTTGTTGCATTTTAGAAAAATTAGAAGCACTAAATTAAATTATGAAAAGGTATCATGTATTTGTGAAATATCCAAAAGTAGAAAACAATTATTCTAACCTATTATTATTGAATATTTCACAAATACATTAAATTAATATCATTTTCATAATTTAATTTAGTGCTTCTAATTTTTCTAAAATATAATAAATAATTGTTTTGTAATATTATTGTTACATATTTTACGAAACTATGTTATCTGATACTGTTAATTCTTATACATATACTATCCGCTATACTACCCTAACTCTACTCTACTCTACTCGATTTATCGGACAGCATTGAGTTGTCATAAATCTTGAAAATACTAGATGCTTGTGCCTATCATATTTCTCGGCCCTAGTGAAACTAACTCGTACTTAATCCAACTCGAATTATCGTAAACAGCCAGAGGTTACTGTTCTTTCCAACGGTGCAGCAGAACTTAGTGCAACAGTTCACTGAACTGCTTGCACTGAGTCTGGAGTGGGAACGTCCCGATTGACCACGGTACGATTGGACACAACCAACCGATGAAAAGAATTATTTAGTGAATTACTAGGTCGAACCAATCATTACAATCTGTGTCCAATCGTATCGTGGTCAATCGGGTCCCACCCGTCTGGAGCTAGTGCTAGCAGTGCAGTGCATTGCAAGGGTAAAAGTTACTATACCAGTGCAAGTAGTTAAGGTGAAAAGAACAGATCTATGAAGATAGAAGAGATGAATATTGAAGAAATTAAAAGGAATGAAGATGGCAACATCTCAAATAGGTTCTGCGGGCAATTGAGATACATACATTAACGCAAGTACAGTAAATTCTTCATCTAAAGAATTATTTACATCTAAAATTATGTGTTGCGCCATGTTGTTTCCTGCACTATGGCGTTCTTTTCCATCCTATCTGGCATGTCTGAATCTATGAACTTTTGCTGTACTCGCCAGTTCCAGTTCCGAACCAGTACAGTTCTAGTGCAGCACTAGTTCAGTTGAAAAGAACAAACCTTAGGTTTAGGAGAAGGAGGAGGACACACTAGGTGGCGGAGGGACGCCGTGCGTTCGAGATCTGCGTATCTTTTCGCTCCAGAAAGAAAAAAATATCGAGAGTGCGGTTTTGCTAGGCCGGGACTCGAACCCGGGTCTTTCGCTTGCCGGGCGACTGCTCTAAACCACTGAGCTACCTGACGCTTCATGCTCACGATACTCTTCTCTTCCTAGATAACGCTCAGAGATGCCGTTCGGAAACGACATCTCTGGCGCGATCTCGAGCGCACGGCGACTACAGAGAGAAACAATGTTACTGTACCAAATGGTACAGCTGTCAGTCTCTCAAAGTCCCTTAAGCTCGTATCAGACTACGGATTAAGATTGAGATTGAATTGAAATTTAGCCAATCAGAACAAAATTCACTAAGCTCAAGTTTGATGAACTTTGCTTTGATTGGCCAATTTTCAATTCAATATCAATCTTAATCTGTAGTCTGATACGGGCTTTAGGTTAGTTCAAAGAACTTTCTGAATTATTGTGCACTAGTGCAAGGAGTGTACACCAAAGCGTTCCTTTTTAGTGGAAATGACGTCGACATCGCTGTTCTTTTTCGAAGGGCAACAGCGGTCAGTGCAATAGTCAGTTCACTGCACTGGCTGCTCTAGGCCTTGAGCTAGTGCAGCCAGTTCAGCAGTATCTTCTGCACTGATGTGTACCAGTGTTGTACTTGTTTGCCCCGGTCTGTCCTACTTCAGTTCAATACAGTTCTAGTGCAGTTTTCGTGCTTCGAAAAAGAACAAACCTCGTTTTCTCTATTTCTATTGTATACTATTCGATCTGAAAACATCGGCTTGAGCGGTTTGGATGTAGAGACGATATTCATAACCTCTTTATAAAGGCTGCATTCCGAAATTTACTGTCAGTACTGAAAATTTATAATATACGTAACATAAACTATAGGTTTCCAGTATTGGTAGTAAATTTTAGAACGCAGTCAAAATAGAAAAAAATATTTCTGTGAAGGATAATTTAAGCAGAAAAGAACATAGAAATTTTCACCCAATCAAAAATTACTAGACAGAGAAAGAAGCGGTGCTTTCAGCAACCTATTTCTTTTCATCTCTGATTTCTAAGTATTGCAGTAAACAGGTTAGGCGACAGTTTCCCGAAAAGTGGAGGGAATAATGTTGGTACCAAGAGAAATCTCTACACGATATAATTTAAAGATCTGTCTTTTGCATTAGTTCAGCAGTGCAGTTACAAAGAACAGAATCTTTAAATTATATCGTATAGAGATTTTCTTTGGTACCAACATTATCCTCTCCACTTTTCGGGAAAATGTCGCCTAATCCAGTAAGCATTCCAGTATAGGTTGAGTTCACTGGATTATTCAGATATAACGCGTACACTCGCGAATAATCCGTTTAACTCTATAAGCTTAAAGCCCATTCTATAATTGCGTGAACGTGGTTGTAAGTGGTTGTATGTGATTACGACAACCAATCAGAATAAAGCAATCAGTAAATAAAACATTTGGATTGGTTGACTCTTACGATCACGCTACGCTTACGCAATTGTAGATGGGCTTAAGGGTGAAATTATATGATGAATAAGAGTGCGGAATAGAGAGGGCGTCACAGAAGCAACCAATCTGCGGGCCTCAATGAGCATTTAACGATTATTGATTCTTACTGTTAGATCCCTAAATTTAGACCAATTACATTGACGAATTACTCAACTGTTGTGCAATCGTTGAGTCTTCTGAATGCAGCCAGTGTAAATTTTTTATAAACAATCTACCGATGGTTGGGTTACTGACGGTCAACGAAACGAGAAATACCTATACGAGAAGTGATTGCTGCTGCAAGAAGTGATCCCTAGCATTTTATACTGGCTGCGTTCTGAAATTCATTGCCAGTACTGAAAATGTGCAGCTCATGTCACGTATACTCACAGATGTCTATACTTTTTAGCGTGTTCGATTGGCCCTGGGTTAATCGCTCCGAGAGCGATTAATGACGTTATATGTCTATACTAGCCAATTATAAAGCTTGTAAGTACTTGTTCGACTAATAAACGTAGACTGAATAATCTAGGGCCAGTTGAACATGCTATTAGACTATATAAGTATGGACTACCAGTTAAGATCTTTGCAGAATGCCAGGCAACAGGCAATAGGAACAAGAAATAGGAATTCGGATTGGTCAATTATTTCTATTCCCTTTTCCTATTGGCTAATGTCTATTCCTATTGCCTGTTGCCTGACATTCTGCAAAGGCCTTTACGTTCTATGCACAATGCCAGTCAACAGGCAATAGGAACAGGGAATAGGAATTCGGATTGGTCAATTATTTCTATTTCCTGTTCCTATTGGCTAATGCCTATTCCTATTGCCTGTTGCCTGGCATTGGCATAGAGCGTTACTTCCACTTTTCCTATTCTTATAATGGCTGCATTCAGCAGACTCAACAGTTGCACAACAGTTGAGTAATTTGTCAATGTAATTGGCCTAGATTTAGGGATCTAATAGCAAGAACCAATAATCGTTGATTGCTCACTGACCGCTTTTTCTACTGAATGCGCCCAATGCTTCGCTATGTAATCAACATTAGGCGTGCCCCCGAGGGTTAAATATCAAAAACATGAAGATTTTGATGGTAAAACAGGAAGCAAGAGAGAGATAGAATATGATATATGCCGCGCTGTTTATCACGTTTGATAAAGTGCAGAACTACTTGCAGTATAAATAAAATATGTATGTATAAACTTAACACACATAGTGAAATAAAGACAACAATAAGTGTATAAATATATATATATATATATATATATATATATATATTATTGAATTTAATTATGCAATATTTGTGTAATTATAATTATATAATATTATTGTCCGCTAAAAATTACGACTTTCGTTAACTTGTGTCTAAAAAAATCTGTTTGTTTAGCATTATAATGGATTTACTTTTATAAAATAATTTTACTTGAAAATAAAATGTTATTATTAATTTAATTAATATATATTTGTGGTTCTTTAATATGTCCAGTTCTTTGACATGTATGTAAAAATTAACGAATATTAAGCATTGAACTGATAAAAGTATATAGGTTTGCTACGTGAGTTCATAATATATCATTGAAATACTGGGATTCGCCACTTAGCCCTGGAGACGCTCTTCATGTTGATTACAGCGGGAGAATGGGTGCGTTCAGCGAACTCAACAGTTGCACAACAGTTGAGTAATTCGTCAAGGTAATTGGTCTAGATTTAGGGATCTAACAGTAAGAACCAATAATTGCTGATTGATCACTGAGCGTTTTTTCCGCTGAACGCGCCCAATGCCAACTGGCAGTCCATACTTAAGCCAGCGGCATACGGTACGTGTTTTCATGCTGGATTGCTTGTTGATTGGTACATTTCTGAAGATAGATGGAAATGCACCAATCAAAACAGTGTATTTCCATCCAGCAAGCAATCCAGCACAGCAAGCAAACAAGCACAGTGTGCCGCTGGTTTTATATAGTCAAAGGTTTGTTCTTTTTATCTGAACTGCTAAACTAGTGTAATAAGTTAGAGTGAAACAAAATAAATTTGTGTCACTCTAAAACCAGCGGCACACGGTGCTTGTTATCGTACTGGTTTGCTTGTTGGATGGAAATATTCTGAAAATTTTAAAAAATGGATGGAAATGCATGAATTTCCAATCAAAACAGAGTATTCCAGTAAGCAATCCAGCACGAAAACAAGTACCATGTGCCGCTGGCTTAATTTACTACAGTATGCACCAGCTCAGACTAGTTCAGCTAAAAAGAACAAGACAAAGGCCTGTATTCTGAATCCTCTTTTATCTATAAAAGTGCCTCTAAAAGAGGCTTAGGAGCCATCTAATTGACTGAGAGGCTACATTTAAGGCACTTTTATCGATAAAAGAGGATTCAGAATATGGACCTATTTGTACGATTCAGCTTTGTCGTACGCGCGTGCGCAACTTGTGTTGTATCTTGTCGTGTGTCAACGTCACTTTTACGCTTCCGTTTCTTTTTTTATGTGTAAATTTTGGGAGCTCCGGTAATTATGAATTAATGAGGCTGTAGTAGCTGGTAGTTGCAATAATGGCTGAGTACCGTTAGTTGATTTTCTATTATGTTTCTTTACCTAGTTGTCGTTCGTCACTCGTGTCGTCTTGCCGTTGTGTCAATCATGATCGTGTGAGCAGAAACATCACCTCGCTGGTGGTGTCCATCTTGATTTCCGTGTCCCTTCAGACGACGCCCCTAATGTCATAATCGAATTTTTCGCTCTGATTGTTTCCTTCGTTCAGTGAAGAGACGCGAGTGCACTAATCGTCGGAAATTAACACGTCGCTTTGCGCACGGGTAAAAAATAATTGAGACGATCTAGTTTTATAAAGATAATTGCGTGATTCGACCGTGTTATTGAGTGTTATTGAATACACGCGATTGCCTTTATCTCGTTTAATTTATATTTTACTTCTGCAACTATGTGCTTCTTCTTAGAAAAGTATTATAATAGAGTTTTCATTGTTTTAGGCATAATTATTGTGTGTAATATAAACGTTTTTTTCTTTGCATAAGAAGGATCTGGTTCCTACTGCGGGACAACAGGAGTTGGCAGTGATTCTGAAGTCATGGCAGAATTGGCGGCTCTCTTACGTCATGAGATTCCAGAGGGAAGGAATAATCTGGCTGATAGTCACACAAACTTGGAAAGAGTAGCAGAATACTGCGAAGCAAACTATTTTCAGGCTGAGAACAAAAGAATTGCTCTGGAAGAAACAAAAAATTATACCACTCAGTCCTTAGCCAGTGTTGCATATCAGATAAATACTTTGGCTTATAATTTTCTCCAATTGCTGGATTTGCAAACATCTCAGCTTGCTGAAATGGAGAGTCAGATGAATCACATCGCTCAGACCGTTATGATACACAAGGAAAAGGTTGCAAGGAGAGAGATTGGTGTGTTGACTGCTAACAAAGTAGCAACTCGCCAGTACAAGATTATCGCACCTGCAAATCCAGAGAAGCCAATCAAATATGTCAGGAAGAGCATTGATTATACAATTTTAGATGATATTGGCCATGGAGTACGTAGCTGTGGCACCCCACGCAGCAAGCAGCGTGGAGGTAGTCAAGGCAGTGTTCAGAGTTTAGGTGCTACTTCCACAGGCTCAGGATTAGGTGCTGCTATGGTAGGACCTGCTCCTACCACCAAACCACCCACACCGCCTCAAACAGTGAGAACTGGTAAGAATTATGCACATATACATGTAAAGATAAAATACATACAGGATGCTTGGTATTTGTTGATACCAAAGAACAAGTACAATTTTCTTATTCGCAGTATTCTCTACAAGGATTATCAAAATAGATACCAATTGTGATTTAAGTTATCAAACATCCTGTATGTACAGGGTGTCTCAGGAGTATCCTGGGATACCCTGTTAAACGCTAAGAAATGTACGAGTGCTACACAAACTTGTAAAGGTGTACTTTTTCAGTTGCGGTTATAAAAAATTTAAAGTCATTTCGCTAATGCAAAGGTATTTACTGCTTCTCTCGCTTGCATGAGCACATACACTTGTTCTTCGATTATGTGTCTCTTTGTTATTTCAGCTTCTTCTGAATGTTACACCTTCTGTCCACCTGTGTTACACCATCCGATATTTCTATCTGTCTCTCATTTGGAGATCGAGAAGGTGCCGCAAATAAATCGTCAAATTCTTTGTGCATAGGAACGTTGAGTAAAGGATCGCGCGAATATAGGACTCCACCAGCGGTAGCCCCACCCCAAGTTCCTAGTCATTACGCGCCCAATTATCCGCTCGGCCACCCCCGGCGAGATCGCGGCCCGGGATACAGCACACTACCGTTGCATGCTCACAACACGTCCCACACGGCTCATAACGCTAATCATAATGCGCATACCGGTACCATCGGTCAACACGGCACTATGCCGCAAGTGGGGACGGTGCATCCTCTGCAGAGTCACCCGCAGACGCCGCCGCCGGCACCGCCTAGCGTCACAGCTGGATACGTGCAAGAGCAACATAATAGTATGCCACGTAAGTAATAAGTAAGATAATATAAGAATGACGTAATATTAAAAACAAAAAATTCCTTGGGAGATACATGTAGCAGAGATGTGTAAGAAATGTGTGACGTTTTCTTTTTTTTTATGATATTGCTATTGGATGTATATGTATCTTGCCACCACAGCACCTCCTTCACCCTTAGTTGGACTAAGCGGCGATATGACGGAGTATAGCGGACATCATACTCTACCACATAGATTATCGCATCAAATCAGCCGTAGTAGTGGCGCGAGTAGTCCTCCTTTGCCGCCACCACCTCCTCCTGAACAGGAGGAGCATCCACAATTTGGCAGACCGACTCCGTCCTCTGGTGCTATAATGCCGATTGTGCCAGATGAGGAGGATTTACCCGGTTGGGTTCCAAAGAATTACATTGAAAAAGGTAAAATCGCGGATTTATCTTTGCATCTTATTGTATTAAATGTATTTACAGTAATCACATGTTTATGTAACAATACATTTTCGTTACAGTGGTGGCTATTTACGACTACTACGCGGATAAGGAAGACGAGTTAAGTTTCCAAGAAAGTTCTGTGATCTATGTGCTAAAGAAAAATGACGACGGATGGTGGGAAGGAGTGATGGACGGAATAACTGGATTATTTCCGGGAAATTACGTCGAACCATGCGTATAACTGCTCGCAATAACTGGATATATCAAAATAACGATAGGATAATCGGAAGACTGCAATTTTTCAGCGCGTTTGCCGTACATATACATATATACATGCATTTCATCACATTAATCACTAATATCTCAATTATAACCAACAGTTATTCCTTATTTTATGTTTCCTTTGGGGAGAAAAAGTATTAGAATGTCCACATTTATGAGAAAATGACCATTTGAGGCTTATTAAGTACGCTCATTAAAGACACGAATCTTATTTTATAGATTTATAATTTATTGATAATTATAAAAGAAAGAATTTATACATTAAATAAGTATTAATGCTATATATAGCAGTATATGAGCTTTATAACGCTCTGAATATTTACGTTATCAGCAATTGTTCGCATGCAATACAGGACTCAAAACATCACAGACTTCTTTCATAAATTATTACAGATTCTATGTCATCCATAGCTTATCCTGCTCTCTATGACGATTGTCACCGCGCCTATAATCGTGCGAAATGCCGGGATGTCGGAAATTATACCGATTGTACGACGTTATAGTATGAAGAGAAAAAGCATAGCATTCGGTTATATATTATAGCAACAAAAAGTTTCAAACATTAAGCGAGTTTCAAATCAAACTGGAAAAATTAAATTTTTATATTAATGCGTGTAAGAAAATGTATTTTTATGCATTTTAGTGTTAGATATTGACTCGCACATAAGTTGCGAAACTCCATATATATGTATTTGTACGCGTACATATATATCTATGTATATGTTGCAATAGACGTCTTTTATCTCTCATTCTGTTCACTATTAATTACAGACTGACTTATTCTAAACTTTCTTTTATCGATAAGAGTGTCTCTGAATGCGACTTATAATCCTCCTGATTGGTTTATAAGCATATTGAGAGGCACTTTTATCGATAAAAGAGAGTTATTAACACGTTAAGCGTCGATTCCTGCGGAAATCTATCCGACAGTGAACTTTCCGTTAAGGTGTTGTCGGTTGCTAGGAACCGACAGTGAACTTTCCGTTTAGGCGACGTCGGTCCCTATGGACTGACGGTATCAAGCTTAAAAATAAATGTTATAATTAAGTATAAAGATATTAGTATGAAGATATGTGGACGCCGCTTGAACGGAAAGCACAGCAAAATCGGCTCCGCACTTAAGGGCCTTAATATTGACAGTTTCTACGACTGCAGCGAGATCGAATCCCATATATTTTCGCAAGGAGAAGACTGACGTGTCTGATTCGTCAGTACGTTCTTAGAGTTGGATTTCCTGGATAATCTGCATAATATTACGTTCATTTGATAATCTGCATAGCTTTTCCATTACGCACAACAAAACGTACTTACAATGTAGAGTACTTACATTTTTTCACAAGCTATTGTTATTTTGCTCACGATTATAGGTCCGCGATCGAGTCAGGTAAAACTGATTCTCGAAAAGAATCATGAATGTCTCCGACGCTTGCATATTTCCACTGTTGGCGAAAGATCTCCTTTCGATTCAACGAATACGGATGCAAACGCAAAGTGAATGTCGTGAAATCGCGAAAGGATCTTTATTTCGTACTTATTCACACTACGCACTTTGTACTTTTCTGCCAAATGAATGTACCAATATGGTTTTACAGAGTTAAAATACAAACATTAATACACGTTTTGCGGTACGGAAGTATTAAATTTTTATTTACATGTGGTTGGTAAGAGATTTCTACCTTAAGGACCGTCGGTAAATAATCGTATTTCTCATTCATGCAAATGTTTGGCGGGAAAGCACTTCTAATTCGATGCATTCAATCGAAAGAGAAAAGAAAGTCGCGACGAAAAAGAATATTTAAATCAAAATATACCAGGAAATATCCCAAAGGGCCATTACATTTTGCTTACTATTAATTTAACTTTTCCTTCGTAAAATTCGCGATTTAGATGTTTATATATCGATGGGTGTGTGAATATGATTGTATGTCAATATCATTTAAATAAAAAAGCGATTTAATTCCATGAAATGTGCATTTTATTTAAAAAGTTTTATTTATAAAGTTTTACTAGTATATATACATATACATATACATATACATATATATATATATATATATATATATATATATATA